AGACCCAAGAACCGAACTTCTCTCTGGAATATGAACCAGGGCTCAGAGGGTGGACAAAACCTCGGTTTCTAGAGAGTCAGACCCTGACTGAGCAGCGTTGCCTCAGGTCCATGCTCTCTCTGCTCCCACACGGTGACTTAAAACTCCAAGTTCTTTCTAGAACACCGTGAACTCTGCTCCCTGTGGGGTGTCTGCGGAATGGCAGCTGACGTGTTGCGGACTCAGGACCTCATTTAATAACACATTAGGGAGAGCAAGCCTTTGGGGAGGTGTGCGGCCTGTTCCTGGAGTTAAATCCCAAGATGTGCAGAAGCCGGTGCTCAAGACCGAGCTCAGGGAAGGTGTCCACACTGTTTGGACCCAGGGATTGAGCCGCTCATCTTCCCTGGGAGGCAGTCCCAGATTCCATCCTGAGCAAAGGGGATAAGTGAGACCATGAGGGCCCAGCAGCTCTAGTGTCACCATGAGAAAGGGGACCGGCAGTATTGGAGTCCTAGCTGTCTGGGTCGTACCTAAGGCATGTCTGATCAGGGATGGACTAGGCCAAAAATGTGGGGGTGAATCTTGGGTGCTCCAGGTCTAGTGATGGCGACAATCATCTCCCTGGAAGTGAATGCAGTAGAGAGGGAGGCCATAAGTGGAAGAGTGGAAGCCACAAGAAGAGGAAGATGTCACGGAAAGGTGCTAGGGGTACATGAGGAGGACCACGAAAACTCGAGAGCAGTGTTAAGACTCATGGGCCAACACACATGGAACACTGAGAGAAAGCAGTGCTCAGTACCCAGGAGGCAACAGAAGCCTGCACAGGAAGCAAGTCAGCTGACCTCAGAAAAGAGGGGTGGAGGGAATCCAAGTTAAAGAAACAAGCTATCCACCTGGGTGGTGACAGGGGAAGAGAGGATGTCATAGAATGTCCACATCAGGGACTTGGGGAGGACCCAGGGTCCACAGGGACCCAGGGTTGTTCAGCAGTCCTGTGGCTCTGCCATCTCCTTTATTGTACTCCAGGGAGCCAGCAGAGAAAGGCCGGGAGCCTTGCCTGGGCTTGGATACCTGACATCAGCTTGACCTTGACATGGCTCAGCCTTGGCCTGAGTTGCTCCTGGCTCTCTCTGGCTGGAGATCAGGGAGTTCTCTACCTGCCTACACCTGGCACAGTGAGCCAGAGAGGCTTGGAGAGCCTGGGGGAAGGGAGCGGAATGGTAGAATTTAGCAAGTGGGCCCAACTGGAGAGCACAGGCTCTGGCTGACATGGCAGCTCCTGTTCCAGGGACAGGGACAGATGCGGGTCCTGGGTCGCTGCCTAGGCAACAAGAGGAACTCTCCAGATGCTGGCAAAATGAGCCATACTCCTGTCTCTTATTCTCGCCTCCAGACTAGAGAAAGGAAGATCAGTTTGTGGAGTCGAGTTGCTCAGCTCCTCCAAGCCTCCTGAGGACGTAGCAGTCCAGTTTGTGTAGGGTTCTCTCAGAGCCCTTTCGAAGCCTTTGGCTCCAGTTTCCATTTTTGCTTTGTGAACCCAGTTCCCTCTCCCCACAGCGCCATCCTGCCTTCCACTTTGAAGAGCCCAGAAGTTCTACAGCTGCCTGGAAATGCTGATGACTTAACTGGTTTAATTTTTTTTCCCCAGCAGCCCTGAGGGGTTTTAACTCTTTCCTCCCGCAGAAACCCAGCTTTTGGAGTTGAAGGTTTAAACTCTCACTGGGAGACTCATAAATATTCGGAATCACTCTTTCCCTCTCTGTTTGATTAGGAAATGAGCCTTTAACTCAATGTAATCCCCAAGCCATTAACAAAAAAGCCCTCAACAGCTCTACTATTAGAATTTCACTCCTAACCCGCGGAGGATTGAATTAGATTAACATAACTACCCACAATCTGAGTTTATTTTCTGTGCCAGATAGAAATGTGTTTTCAGAAAAGGCAAGGGGTAAGGGGGTGGGGGATGGAGAATTGAAAAAAAAAATAGGAGATAGATAATGAAATGTAAAAATAGAGATAAGAAGGAGATGGACAGAGATAGAGTGATGGGGAGAAAGCTATGGCAGGGGCTTCGGTTTAAAGCCCCTGCCAGCTGCCGGTTTTATTCATGGGGTGTTTGGAGAGCCCTCAAGTACCTAAATTGTTTGAATCAGGGGAGTACTTTCTGACATTGCCATCCCTTCTTCCTGGAGATTGACGACCTCGCACCTGAGCCTGAAGCATTCCAAAGCACCTGCTCGTTGGCCCCTCCGCCCCCAGTGTGCGAAGAGGTCAGAATGGATTTCTGCATGCTCCAGGGAGGGAGGGAGGGCACGTGAAACCACAGTGCGCGCACATGTGTGACTGCTTGTTGACACGCACAGAGCTGAGCGACGATGCCAAGGGTGGCGTTAGGTTCTGCCCACATGAAGTCACAGACAGCTCCGTGACCAATTGCATTTAAGAAATCAGTTAGGGGGAAAAATGAGTCTGATGGGAGCTCAGACCACATAAAATTAATGGTTATTGAAGCAGAAACTAAGTAATCAGAGGCTGTATGCAAATGCCCTGAAGTTTCCCCAACTGCATCCCCACAGGGAACCAACGGGGGAGAAACAGCATCCTGAACACACGGGACCAATGCCAAGGCCTCTGCTTCCCAGCAATGCCCCCAGCCCACCCGAACATATCTGCAGGTCCAAGGAAAGGGTGGCTTGTTTCTAAGTGTTTCAACAAACTATCTCCTCTCTGGACCGTGAACTGTAACAAGAACACAAGACTCCCCCCATCACCTCTAGTCACGAGTCCCCACCAGACTGGACTCGGAGTGGCCAGGGGGGGAGGGGCTGGCGTAGAGGGAAGGATTTGCCCCTGTGCTGGAAAGGTTAGGAAAAAAAAAAAAACCTGCCAGACATTGTTTTAAAAGCCACCGAGCTCAGAAAGTCTGGAAAAGTTCAGCTTTGCAAACAGCGGATCGCTCCGATTTCTGTGCATACAATGTCTCAATCACTCGATTCATATGCGCCTTAATTAACAACAGCCCACAAAATCCCACTCCAGCACACTGAGGGGAAAGCTTAGCAGGATTGGTTTGTCACACAGAGACCTTGAAATAGGAAATAACAATAACCTGACATGGTCACTCTGCCCAGCTTCCCTTCCCTGGACTCTTGGGCATGATTGTGGTGGCAGATCTTAAGTAATGACAGTCACCCTCTTTACCCTCCCTCCATTCCTTCCTCCCTCCATTCCTTCCTTCCTTCCTTCCTTCCTTCCTTCCTTCCTTCCTTCCTTCCTTCCTTCCTTCTTTTCTTCCTTTCTCATGTTTTGAGACAGTGTCTCTAGGTAGCCCTGGCTGTCCTGGAACACACTATGTAGACCAGGCTGGCCCCAAACTCACAGAGACACCCCTGCCTCTGCCTCTGCCTCCCAAGTGTTGGGATTAAAGGCATGCAATATCACACTACGGCTACCTCCTTAATTCTTTATTCTGGGTTTTTTTTTCCCCACTGGTTAAACCTCGGAGTTCACCTTCTCTTTTCTTTCTTTTTTCTTCTTCTTCACGGCCCTCCCTCCACAATAGCAAATTAAAGATATTAATAACCCAACAAAAAGTGCAGGTTGGAACAGGGAACCAAGAAAAGGGAAAGTTAAAATGAAAATGAGATCGAATTGCCCCAGGAAGCATATGTGTGCACGCACGTTATTTAACTTTCATCAACTATTTTGCTGACAAACCTACTCTGCTTGTAATCAAAAACAATTCAGCCTGATTTGCTTTGTTTAATGCTTTTAAATTGTAGTAAGGATTGTTTCTTTGTTCGGATACTGTTTTTCTAAACAAATCTAGAAGTGGTCTTTAGCAATATAGCATCTGGTACCCAATGCATAAGTAAATAGAACTCATTGTAAAAAGAATGAGGCTTATTTAAGTATTTGTACATAGTATACATTCAATACCATTTTTTTTTTTTAAGTTTAAGGCCTTCTTTTCCAGCAGTGCTGTAAAGCCAATCTCCCTAAGTGCAAAATTTCTGGTAAATATGACCCATTATCTAGAAACTAAAGTTCCGAGGATCCATGTGAAGCTCATGGCGGCTAAGACTCACTCAGGACAGTGATGGGGGTAGGGATAGGGTGTGTGCGCTTCCCAGCTACCTAACACGCAGAGCAGAGTCTGGCCACCTTGTTTGCCCCTAGCCCAGCTTTGACAAAACAGGTAACCTTTCCTTCCCAGTGAAGGGCACAGAGCCCTTCACGCCTGGCCTGCTACCCCCAGACACCTTCTCTTCCCAGCGCAAGTTTCCTTACTCCTTCCCGAGTTGAGAAAATACATCCAGCCCCAGCCAGCCAGGAAAGGCATGGGTCGGCAGCTTTCCTCTCCACTTCACAAAGTAGAATCACTCCATGGAAAGGGGGGGGGGTGCCCCTTTTCCTTGGAGGTGCTGTAAATAAGATAGGTACTGGACCTGTCATGGGTCTAGCTGGACCTGAAAGCTCCTAGGGTACCCCCAAGTCTGTCAGCACCCCACCATCATCACCCTGAACATCCTCCCCCCTCCCAAGAAGCCAGTCTCCCCCCCCCCCTTGTCACCTTGTCGCTTACCAAATGCTGGAGCTGCTAGCAAATAAAAAGTTTTCATGCTGGGAGACATAACCACCCCACTGAGCCGCCTGTGAACTCTTTGCCCTTTTGATTTACTTACTTTCTCTCCATGAAAACAAATAAAAAACCAAAGGGAACCCACCGATTCCAAATGAGTTTGTGTAGCCATCCCACCCAGCTCAGTGGAGACCCCCCTGACCTTCCCATGACAGTCTGAGAGAGGAGACATTTACCTCTCAGCCACTCGGGGATGGATGTTTTAGTGTGCGGAAACCAGGATGAGAGAGCCGGCGTGGGGAGATATTTTTATCCATTAAAAAAAGAGAGAGAGAGAGAGCAAACGCACGGGAGAGAGGAGGGTGTGTAGGGAGGAGGACAGGAGGCACAGGGCAGTCTGGGGAGGAGGGAGAGGAGAAGTTAGCTGCTTACTTACATGGTTGGGCTGGCTGGCTAGAGGACGGGGCTGCCGAGGAACTGAACGGCTACCCTCAGGTGTTCCAGTGGCTGATGACTCGTTGCCTGGCTCCTCCGACACCAGCTGACAGTCCCCTCTCTGTGTCTCTTTGTGACTAAGGACACAGTACTCCCAACCTATAAATAGATTCCCGACTCCGTGATTGATATAACAGGCAGCTGACAGAAAAAAAAAAAAAAAATCCCACAACCATAACCAGGTCTCAAGCAAAACAGCAAAAACCCCTGGACTTTCAATTCCACGGAGCCCCGGGAAAGGGGGTGTGTGACATGTATTGGCAAAGGGGTTGGACCAGGGCTGGCAAAGTACTGTGGGAGAGTGGAAGACAATGGCTCCTTGAGTGGCGCAGCTCACTCAGGGGTCACACGGAGCTAGTGAGCACCGGCCTTTAGAAAGGGAGGGAGGAGCTTGCAGGAGGTCCTGACCCTGCGAAGGAGAGCCCCCACCCTTGGATCCTGAGCTCTGGTTGTTAGGGCCTGAGTAGTCAACATTTTGACTTGGGAGCATTCGTCTTTCCACGAAAGTTTCCATTCCCCCTGCCAGGTCAGGAGGCAGGGAGGGTGTGCAGCTCTCCCGGTGTGAGGGCTGTGAGGGCCACCGAGGGACTGTGGGGCCAGGCAGAAGGCCCTACCCCGAGGGTAAGGAAGCCCAGGAAGCAATTGTGTTCATAAGGCAGAGTGGCATTCTCCAGGAAGGAAGGGCTCTTGTGGCAGCCCCTGGCGCCTGTTTTTTCCAGAATGATTTCCTGCAAAGATTTTTTTGTTGTTTGCTTGTTTGTTTGTTTGTTTGTTTTCCAGAAAATGAGCATCACTCTTTGGGAAAAAGATCCAGTTCCTACATACCTGACACAAGCTTCCTAACACAGGTCAGTCCATATCTAGGAGCTAAACAAGGGGATGAACTTTCTGGAAAATCATTAGGGGAAAGACAGTCATATAGCTTGATCAGGCGGGGCCGGGGGCCTTGGCTTTAGAATTACTTGTGAATGCTCAGCTGGGCACAGCGCCATTTGTACGAGGTTCCCCTTCAAGAGGGTCATGGAGCCAGCCCTTGCTGGTATGGAGGGGACAAGATAAAACCCTTCAAACTTCCTGATCATGCTTTCTAAAGGAAGGAGTTAATCCTCTGTCTCTTCCTGTTAGACCCAATTCTTCCCCCCCTGGGTTAACAGAAACCACAAGGATGTGTGGTACCCAAGTCACAGGTCTGTTTAACCTCGTTCGGTTATCCTTGTTACAGCCTGCCAGTGGAGCAGAAGTTTCAGGAAGGTGAAGACCAGGTTTGTCTTATTCACCTTATGGCCCAGGATTACCATGGTAAGTGATACATGGCAAGACTTCCGGACAGTGGACTTCCTAGTTGACTAAATAAATGGATGGATGAGTGGTTGGGTGAATGAGTGGTACCCAAGACAAATGGAAGTCATTCTCCTGGGATGTCGGAAGTGTGTGTTTCATGAGAATACCACTGGGAAAGTAGAGAATTGGGACAGGGATCTGAGGAGAATGAGTCTGATGTGTCCAACATTTATGCATGGTTCTATCCGAGACCTTGGTACTTCTAGGTACCAGGCCAGTGCAGCTAGTGGTCATCCCTCTAACCAGCCTGGCCATCTGCAGGGTGGCTTGCAAGTATTGCTGCTGGGAAGGCAGAGAGGCCTGCAGAGGTGGGGCTTGGGAGGGGTCCCAGCTGATGACCGGATTCAGAGGCACTTGGCACACATTCCCCACCAGGCGCCTTCCTGGGGAAAACCCCTCTTCTGATGCAGACTGAGGTCTCCCCTTCATAACCGCCTTTCTCTGTACAGTCTCCAGCAGGCTGTCTGGCTTGTCACTGACCCCTCACCGCTTCCTGGCAGGAGGCTTTTGTGTGCTCGCGTGTGCATGTATGTGTGTGAGTGTGTGTGTGCATGTGTATGTGTGTGTGGCCCTGGGCTTCCCCAGACCTCAGTGCAGTACCTGCTCTGATCCAAGTGTTGAAAGTGCACCTCCAGGAAGCACTTGCTTAGAGAGACCCCATGAAATCCTGATTTTGACTGTTATCCTCAGGCTGATTTCTAAATTGGTCCAATCTCATTCTCAACTCTTCTAAGTGAACCCAGCCTTAGAGTCACTCATCCCTTTGCACTGCCAATGATAACCTACAGAGTTCCTTTGAATGCTGGTCACCATCTCAGGAGACCACGGACCACTGAGCTCTCAAGAGGCTCACTGTTCCATCCTGAAGCCTGTCCCCCTGCCACCTGCAGGCCCATCAGCCGACTAGCTGTGTTGAAGTTTCTCCTCTTTCATCTACTCCTAGGAAATGAAGGTCAGGTCCCTTAGTCTTCTGAGCCTCACTTTCCTCATTTGCAACTGGAAACCCCAAGTGTCTAACTCACAAAATTAGCACGGGAATAAAATGACTCTGTTCAAGAGGATGCACAGGACAGTGCCTCGAACACAGAGGGTCCTATATCAGTAAATACTCTGGCCATCTACATCACCCACGGGCATCCTGCGTTCCTTCTGGATATGGTCCCTGCCCACCTTCACCACCTCCCTACTCCTTGCTTCGGTTCTCCCCATCTAGAGGTAACATTGGCAGGATGGGCTGATGACTGGTGCTCTGGCCCACATAGCCCCCGGGTGGAGGTCAGAGGTCAGGAAGAAAAGATTGGTGACTTTAGGAGTTTTACTGTGTCCATCCACAGGCAGGGGACAAGAAAAGTAAAACAGTCCCAGAAAGATCCTGGATTTTTCCCTGTGACTTTACCTGTCACCCCAACAGTCAGGATCACTGCACACCCACCCCTCCTCAACACCCCATCCATCCGCCCTGAAACGCTACACTCAATTTGAGTGTTCGAGGATTTCTGAAGAGTTGAGAATCCTCCACCATCCGGAAGTCAGTCACAGTGTTGCTTTAAAACAGGTGATCTTGATAAGTTTTCCTGTCTCCAAGCCTGATGGATTGAATTCTATCCCCAGAACCCACATGATTGAAGAGAATCAACCCCCACAAGCTGTTCTCTGACCTCTACACACATGCCATAGCATCCCTAATAAATAAGTAGATAGATGATAGGTAGGTAAGGTAGGTAGATACATAGATACATAGATAGATAGATAGATAGATAGATAGATAGATAGATAGATAGATAGATAGATAGATTTTTTTTTTTCAAGACAGGGTTTCTCTGTGTAGCCCTGGCTATTCTAGACTCACTTTGTAGACCAGGCTGGCCTCAAACTCACAGACATCCACCTGCCTCTGCCTCCCTGAGTGCTGGAATTACAGGTGTGCCCCACCGCACCCAGCACAGCTAGATTTTTTTTTTTAACTCAGGTAATCCAGATGGCTGGAAAGATGGCTCAGTTGGTAAAGACATGATGGCCTGAGTTTATATCTCCAGAACCCATGGGAAAAGACAGATGTGGCGACGCACGGCTGTAATCCCGTGACGGGGACAAGGGGATCCTTGGAAGCAGGCTAACTAGTATGTCCCATGTGGCAAAGTCCCAGGCCAGAGAGAGAACCTGTCTCAAACAACAGATAAGGGCGCCTGAGGACACACCAAAGGTTTTCCTTGACCTTCATATGTACATGTAACCCCGACACTCACACACACATACACATACACACATACACACACATACACTGAGAGAGGGAGAGGCAGAGGGAGAAACAAAAATAGAAGCGGCTGATCTCCATCTCACTGCAACCCAGTCGTCTGCTGTGCTCCAACAGAGCAGAGGGCCTCTCCTCCTTCAGAAGAGGCTCAACCTCCTGAGATCTTCTTGAGCGTTTCTCCCCCTCCCCTTGAGTGTTTTGCTTTGTGTGTGCAATGCACTCTCATAGAAGCATACACTTGAGCGTGGTAAGTTCATCCACATCCTGCACAAGAGCTGGCATTACCTATCTATTTCTAGAACATTCACAGCACCCCCAAAGGCTGCCTCCCCGTCTTAGACAGGTGCCTCCATCTCCCCCTGGGTTAGTCTGCAACCACCACCCCAGTGCAATACTGTAACACTATTTCTCTTTAACACACAGATTTTGGGGACCTCAGCCTCCAGGAAGCTTATCTTATCTTTATGTTTCTGTGGGTTTCCCAGCCTGAGAACGTCCTATGCGAAGACTCATGCAGCACGGGCGCCCCCCCCTAAACTCCTAAGCCCACGTGGCCACGGCCCCATTACAGCCGAGTGTTTTGTGTGATTTCTCTGGTCTTCCGTCTCTTGCTGTCCCAGTTCTCTCTCAGCCATGTCTGGGGTGAGCCTCTCAGCCTCAGCCTTCAGTAAGTGAAACTCCTGTTCCGTCATGGCTGCTCCGTGGGGCTGTCCTTGTCATGTCCTCCACACACACACCTGTAGGAAAGATTTACTGCTCTGAATTGGCTGCCTTATCAAGTGTCCCAAACCACGTGGCTTACAACAACAGAAATGTATTGACTCATTATTCTGGAAGCTAGAAGTCCAATATCAGAGTAGGGTTGCTTCCTTTTGAGGCTGTGACGGAACCTGTTCCATGACCTCCCCAAAATTTAGAGGCTTGTTGGCCATCTTTGGTGTTCTTGGGTTGCAAAGGCAGTTGTGTGCCATTGTCCGTGTTTGCCTCTCTGTCGCTGTGTCTAAATTGCTCTTTTCTGTAAAAGGTCATAGGACCTCATCGCAACGGGATTATTTGCAAAGACCCTACTTCCTAGAAAGGTCATAGCCACAAGCATTGGAAGTTGGGATTTCATCATCTTTTGGGGGATAGGTCTGACACAAAATGTCGATTTACAGAACAGACGGTGAAGCGGAGCTCCGAGACACAGAGCTGAGAATGTGTCACCGCAGGGAGAGGGCACAGACATAGAGAGGCATACCCCTCCCACCTCCCATGGTTCCTTCTGCCTTAGGGATGCCTGGCCCTGTCCTGGCTCTGTGCCACCCAACTCCAGCGTCATTAGTCCTGGCACATCAAGGTGACTTTACACTGTTTACAAGAGCCACTGAAGATACAGCCCTGTTCCCTGCCCCCGCTGCCTTA